CCGAAAAGTCACAACTCCTTGCTCACTCGATGGATTTGCCAGATTTAATCTGTTAGAGAAAATAGTATTTTCTGTAAGTATTTTATTTACGGAGTATTTTAGTATTTATAAGTAGAGTATTTTCTGTAATAGTACCTTTGTTGCTGTCTAACAAGGAGATGCTTTTGTGATGGATGCAGGAGAATAAAATCACTTCAACTCCAGTCGTTTAAAAGTTAGGCTGCTAAAAAACCAGCGATAAAATGTGAAGCAAGCTGCAATGTGAGTTTTTTGATCTACCCTTTCCAATAGTGCAAAATTTCTATAAAATGAGCGTGTCTGCGAAGATAAGCAATCCGCTGATGAATTGCACGAGCTCTATATATGGTAAGGATTTTGCCTTGATGTAAAATATGAGCATCTATGGAAAAGGTTATGCTTGCAGCCAATTATCGAAACAAATTTTCAATTCTCATAAGCAGTCTGTTTGAGCAAGATTTCATACAGAGCAAAAGCACGAAGTTCTCACTGTCCCCTTCGCACGGACTATTCTGAAGGACCTTCGTAGTCTTACCTGCTATTTTAGGTCAGCGATGGTATTGTAAAAGTAAGAAGATGCAAAACGCTACTGTAAACATCACTGACGTATCTACATAGCTTCACGCTTCGTCAAAGCTTTACTGTAGCTTCCCTCGATGAAGTGCATTCGATAAGAACCTCATCTTTTGCCCTACTTCTGTTTACATCAAAGCGTTCATCTCGTCTAGCACGTGAGAGGACTAAAATCTTTGTTTTTATCTACCCTTGTGACGTGTCTGGTCATCCTTCTGGCAGTATAAGGTCTAAAATCGTTTGAAATCCCCACGGACTGCGTCGGATGCGCAGAAGTGCATCCGACAGCTGTTTGAACATTTACACGCCCTCTGTGTAAACGAAGGCTTTTTCAAGCATTTTGCTGGAGAATGTACTTGCACAATGTTCTTCTATCACATCTTTCGGTAGGCTTGAAGCGTAAAAAAATAAAACACATCTATCCAAAGTTATCGTTGCACAAAAACGAGCACAAAAACGAAGAAAAGTTTTGGTCACTTTTGTTATTAAATAATACGATAAAGTGTCGATGCAAAGTAGCCAAAGCCAAAGCAGCTATAAGATGGAGTGGTTTGAACAAAGTCAGCTGCGCAGTTGTGAAAAAATAATCGCTTGTACAACTAACAGGTTTCTGAAATGAAATCAATCAAATTAATTATTAAGTTTCTAAAATAAAATTCATGAAATGTATGCCGTTGGCTGTGAATCTGTTCAGGTGTTCCCGAAAGTCGTGAGGGTTTCTGCACCCTAGTGATTTTTGTGGATGAATTCAAACATATCAGCTGTGCTTGTCCAATTCCTTGAAACAACATGGGAAGATGAGCATTTATCCGGATGATCAATCTCCACTCTCAAAAATTTTGCATACAATTTCTTTTAACCAGTCAAGAGATGATGACAGTAGAGGAACCCTCTATGATGAGCCTGCTGGTCTTTTCTCAATCCACATAGTCGTCAAGCATCGTTTCATTGTAATTCTCTTAGCCATAATTCACTATGTCAAAAATTATTCGCTTTATTGCTGCTACTTCCGAGCTCAAAGGACTGATTTGACTGCGGACTTAATAGAAGAGTTACAATACGGTAGCCTCCGAAACTATCAATGAGTAAAACTTGACAAAATAAAAACTTGGAGCCTGTTGGATATCTGCATCGTTCGATTTTTCTTGACACTTTACCAGCTCTGGGTATCGTTTCTCATCCTAAAACTGTAACAAGCAGACCATTATGAAGGTGAAAGTGCTCCCACTAATGAAACGAAAATTTCTTCCGTTAGTTTAGTCCTGTGAGCAGCAATCTGCAAGTGGATGTTCCTAATTTCTGAAGTTAGAACATCGCTCTGTCGAATTCCATGTCTAGTCTCCCTCAAATTTTCCCTTTGACTGCTTGATATAAAAAGAAGACTCCTTTGGATCAAAACAGCATTACTAAGACGCTAGGTAAACACTGTATGTGTCCACATGCATGACTAAACGGTCTCCAGTGCTGCAGAAAATATTGGAGGATTCTGCTATTTCATCTTGCTGGAATGAATTCGCCGCTACCCAAGCCCCTCAGGACTTGACTTTTCATCACAATAACGGAGAGACGTAGCGTATTGACAAGTAACACACTTCTTTTTGGGATAATTGCCTTTTGTCAAATTGGGAGTGAAAGTGGTTGTTGTCTGCATATTTCTTTTCAAAAGTCTGTCGTTTTTTCAGAGCTATTGTTGGTTTTCATAGATCATAAGAACCAGTGTGTAAAATTTTGGGTGCAAATAGGGTTACTCTAGAAATTAGAATGATGAATCAATGATTGCAGTCAATTATGAAGAATTGAAAAGTTTCCTATTCAGAAGAGCACTCTTCCCTTAGCCATTAGGAAAAGTTCTCAAAGTTGTTGAATGTCATATCATTAAAGGGTCTCTTCCCTTCTGCAGATTTTGCCTTCGAGTTTTTTTTTGAAAAAACTCCTATGATAGACCTGACGGGAAACAACATTCCTGTATTTTGAGGGAGAAAACAACCTAAAAGCAAACAGACATTAGATCGCTTTCAGAAAAATGCCAAAACAGAGAGGTCACTATGGCAAAATTCACACACAAATAAGTAAAATGCAACTGATGATTTGCTTTACCCTTAGATCTTACATCAAGCTAACCATCAGAGCAAAATGTGTAAAAAGGTCTGTAAAAGACTTGGAAAGCAAAGTTTGCAAATTTATTGAATAACAGATGTACTCTTGTGAAGGTTCTTATGCCAAAAATTCTTTCTTTTAGTGTTTCACTGGAAATATCTCAATTTGCTGAAGAGGAGGGAATCATCATGATAACTTTATTAGCCTTAAAATGCGCAATTTGCAATTTTAGGTCAAGCTGTCAGCCAGCCCAAACTTACCTAGATTCTCCCTAATTCTGGAACAACAATGCCGAACAAATGGCCGATCAGTCAACGAATATCCGCTAAGCAATATATGGCAGAACTGCTTGCACAAAATCAAGTTCGTTATGCGTTAACAGTAGTTACCTTTCGGATATTTTGGCATTCTTGGGGTATTCTTTCTCATTGTGGACTTATCTCTTTGTTTATATTAGGTTGTCCCGAAAGTTTTGTCGGTTTTTTCAAACCGCTATAAAACCACGCACAGTGAAGATATGAATGAGTTTTAAAGTGCATTCGATGCAACTTTTCCTTCTCTTTTTTACGGTTACATTTTCGAACCGCGATCCTGTATGCTTTTTTTGATAATTGCCAAAATTCTTCACCCGCCATTTTTCTCTGCTTGAAGTTAGGCTATTTTTCAAAAATTTCTTTCCAAAGTTTCGGAGAGGGTTGAGTGTGGATCAAATAGAGCAATTCTAGGACTTTACGGAGATTTTTTTGATTCTCCTATTCTGCTGTGTTTAGCTCAAAAAAATTATTTCTTTGGAGGCCTTGATTTCCAGCAAAGTCATGAAAAACGCAACTGCAGCAAAAGCGAGAAAACTTTTGAAGTTTCTGCGAATTCAAACTTTTTGTCATTAAACGCTATTTATGCAACATAACCAAGGTTGATTTGCTTCAAAAATCAGCTTTTTGGAATTTTCGGTACTTTCACGTGGTAAACTTATTAAAAAAAGCCGCGGTTGTTACTGAATAAATAATCATAACGGACATAATAAATGAGGCCCACGTAATCTAAAATAAACACAATGTAGCCAAAAGTTTGTTCTACATAACAGTCACCAGCGCTCCTTGAAAATATTAGTATAAAAATTTTGAAAATTCAGGAAAGATTTGGCGCTACTGCTAAGGTGCTCAAAAAGCCATGGCGATAACATCACAAAGACGGGGTAGATCAGAAAACAAATATAGCTGTAAGAAAGAGGATAAAAACTGAATAGAATGGTACCTAGGTCGTCCATGCAATGGCTTTCTGTGAGTTTGGGTGAGCGATGAAAAAAACCGACAAAACTTTCGGGACAACCTAATATATTACGTTATGAAAGTTTGCAACAAAGAATGCGAATTTTCAATAGAAGGTGTTTCCTTGCGAATTCTGTTTATGCAAGACTTCCAAAATTCGGAAAATTGATGTAGTTCAGAAATTTATCGAGAGGTATTTTCGCTCATTTACGTCCCTTGAACTATATCTTCGCGATCGTCAGGGTGGTCTTCAACAATCATTTGTCACCTTTGCAAAGGCGCATCAATTTCTTCCCAAACTGAGTAATTGTTGATCAGTAAGGATGAAAGATCAAAAAGTAGTATCAGAGTTTTGGTGAGCAAACACCAATCGTTTTGAGAGTTTTTTTACGACGTATACTTTGCTTTATGCAGACATTGCAGACTGCTCTATTACACCACATAGTCCCGGGAGACTCCTGGAAAAATACATTTGTTTTTATGATTGATGCTCAGCAGTAGCATTGTTCTAGCGATGCCAGAAACACTTTCGTGAAAATTTACAATCTATTCCAGAAATTCATTTATCATTTTAAACCTCTAGGGATTGGGAAAAACCTCGCACAAGAAGTTTTCGCTAAGTGCGAAGTTTCTTTAACCCCAAATTACCAAACTTAAAACCTTTGCCCTCCAGCGAAATATAAAATGTATTAGAAAAGTCTATTATATGCTTTTGTGTTACTTCCAGTTCAGCTTCTAGCGCCCATTGTGGACCCGAATCTCTATTCGATTGATTTCATCAAAAAATTTACTAGTGTAAGCAATCTACTACACACTTACACGATGGAATATGTTGCAGATTGCATTGGTTTTCTAATCACTGTTAAATAAGGTTTCACAAGACTTGGGTCCAACCTCATATTGGAACGTATCTGTCACCACAAAAGTACTTATACTTTACAATGAACAGAACACAAACTCATTAAACCTTCACTTGTTGTTCTTTATTTCTCGTCATGAGAATTACTTCCGTTGTATTGTGTCGTAACAGTAAATCAGATAGCGATTTATTTCAAGGACGCACATAATTTACCCAGTCGCACACGGACACACTGAAAGAACAACGGCACCGAAATGCTCAAACCACTGGAGGCCTGGGCTGGGCTGGAACTGACTACGTTATTGGGACACATTGGGACACAACACGACGATCAGTGGCGCTCAGAAACTCAGCACTCAACGAGTTGAGCTCAGCGGTATATTAGAAGAACGGGAGAGAGGGGGGGGGACTACGGGGGCTAATGCGGGCGGGCGAACGGGGGCGATAGCGGGGCGTACAGGCAGCACGACACAGCTTGGGCTATGGCAAAATCTCTTGAGAGGAGAGAAGAGCTGAGGGGTGAGTGAGTGAGAGCCCAAGTGTAGAGCGACTATGAGAAGCACAGAGACAACAAAGGTGAGACAGCCTATAAATACAACGACGACATATCGATTTATTGATTGGGAATGCAGATAGTGATCAATAAGAAAAGAATCCAATGAAGCAATTCATGCATAGGGTAAGTATGCGCCTAGAACAGGACGATGAGTGCTGCAACTGGAGTGAAAACGAATGTGCGCAGGCAGGCAGACGAACACGAGTTGAAAATTAGTGGGTGAGTGAGTGTGTGGACACATTTTCAATGCTATGATCATATTAGTGGCTGTGAATAGTGGATACTACTGTAACGATACATATGTACGAGGTACGGTAAGACGTCGAATCGCCCGTGTGCAGACTATGTACAGAAGCCTAGTTGGCTCCGGCAGCTACGGCTACCGTCGGATTCACTGTTCGTGATTTCAATTCACCATCTTCCAAAATCTGCAAATAAAGATTTAAATGCAAATATCCTATATACGAAGGTACATGACCATTTTGCACTATAGTATGCTGCAGCTATCCTGCGAGACTTAAACAGTTCAGAATTGCCCGGTGCCAGCGCTGCACCAGCTCCGTTCCAGCGCCGTGCCGGAGCTGTGCCGGAACTCACATGGTTACCTCGTCCTGGAGGTCGACGTTCGAGCATGGTGCTGGCGCTGCTGGCATACGGACAACTCAGAAAGTTTAGTTACCGCAGCGAGTCATGCACGCGGATCTCTCTTCGCTTGGGCTGCCTGCAGAGCTGCCCGTGTACAGGTGCCGTGCCAGCGCCGTGCCGGACCTCACGCAGACTCATTGCGTATTAATCGACTGACTTCACCGGCACAAATCCGGCACGGCACCGGAACTAACAGGTAACTCTAGACACAGCCGTGATTAGACATGTCGCGCGCGACAGCGGTCCTGCGTGGAATCTCCATGACAGTACAATAGTGCAAAATGGCATAATCCCGCATTTTAGGCAACCCTTACCTCTACAACTTCTTCGCCATCATTTTCCGTTCGCTTTGTGACCACCTTTTTACCATCGATGATCTTTGTTGTTGTGGACGTCTTCCGAACAGTCGCGTTCTTCCCAGGTTCTGATGCCGATGTGAAGCGGATTACGGTGGAAAAATGACTAAAAGAAGGTATCTGTTTATGACCAAAACTAAGGAATATGGACTAAGGAATGGGCTTACCAGTCGTCATCTTTCTTCTTTTTCTCGTCATCGTAAAATATGTGCACTCGGCTCGACGGGAATTTGTGCTCTAAAAATCACTTTGTTGCTGAACTTTATGATTTATTGAACGAACTCATTCTGCTTCTATAATTGGAGCAATTTTGCTGAAGATGCGACCGCTTCTCAGGAATTCATGATTATCAAACTCATCGAGGGATAGGAGATGTTCCAAAGTAGTATCAGATGTTTTATTGATTTTATACATAAAAGGATATAGTGGACAGTAAGTTGTTTTACAGTTACAAGTTCTTTCCAACTCTGCCAACTTTTGCCAATTCCCCCTCTCCCCTCTCCCCTCCCCCAAATTCTAATTTTACGTTTCCACTTTCAACAACCCATGCGAAATTAGATGAGCGCGGCGGCGCACATAGATTAGAGTGAAATGCCATAAAGGGATTGTTTTTCCTTTGTTATAGAGAAGCACTGATCAGATTATAACGAATCGTACAGCAAAGAACGAGAAGAGGAGTAGAAATGCAAAAAAAGGTGAAATATGGTCGAATGGGATGAAGACACATTTTTCTTTGACCATCAGAATAAGTTCTCGATGCGAAAAGCAAAAATTTCAGTTTAGAATACGCATAAAAAATACAAGAGATTACTTGGTAATATGAGAATTAACTTCTGATTTTGGAAATTAAAAAGAAACCCACTTTTGAAGATAAACGAATCTGATGGGAAAGCGAACGAATCGTCGAAGAAGATGTCCTGGAAGTGCAGAGATAAGCTTTACAACATAAGAGATCTACATCATCGATCAAAGACATCTACAGCTGCAAGGAAAAATGAAAAAAAATCATTTTTTCCACCAATTTTTCAACCCTTTACGGAACGAATAAGTGGATCTCTTGCAAACACCAAAGCTAATGTACGAGTTTCATGGCATAGCAAAAACAATATAAATTCTCGATAGTGTCATAGATTAATAAATTCAAGTGTACCAAAATTTCAGAGACTAGTTTCATATTGAATTGAGCAGCTTTGTGATTCGAACTCGCAGTCTTAATATAACAACTTTTTCCAAAAAGCTCTTTTCCCCTTTTCCAAAATACTGCAGTTGTTATTTTCGGTAGTACAGTCGCGATTACAACCGGACTGTCAACAAGCTGAGTCCATTTTCCAGACAAAACAAACAAACTCAAATACATAAGCACATTAGCTCATATGGCGATAACGTTCACCGAAACCGGAACGCCTTATTCGACAAAACTGCGTTTCACGTATTCTGTTTAGAGCGTTCCGACAATAGCTATAGGAAGAAAATTCTATTACGAGACAATTCGGCTAAGACGGGAACGAGCAAACACACCTGGAATGGGTCGCGGTTGCCGAAAAATTCGCGGAAAATGTCGAACGGCGAACGAAAATCGTCCATCCGACCGCGACGAGAACGGAACGTCGACAGATTTTCGGAACGGTCAAATTCTTGACGCTTCTTCGCTGAAATGTGCAGAAATAAAAATGGTGTATAAACAAGCAAAAAACTGAATTTTCAAGATTTTCGGAACCACAAATATATCACTTGTTTCTCTCAAAAGTTATGAGTGAAATATCTTCTATTATTCTTAGCTCCCTTTTCTCTTTGCAATCGAAAGGTGCCTACTTTGGGATATAAGGTATTGGGTATAAAAGAAAATTTCCCTGACAACTTTCAGATTTTCTGACTCGTATTTTTCGTACACGAAATGTTAAACGTTAACGACAATTTTTCCACAATTCCGTAGAAAACGTCCACTTTCTAGTGAAACCTCCGTTTATTTATCCTTTCAAAGCACGTTTGATTGACGTTCAGGAAAATGATTTTAAGAACATTTGGCAGAAGCCTGGCAAGTTTTCGCAGCTTGTTGTAAAAACTTTTTTCAAATCACAGTTTCCACGATTCAGTTCCACAATTTCCGGCTGTCAATTCTCCTTTAACGAATGAAACCGTCTAAATCTCAATTCACCTCACCATAGTTTTAGGAAATAGCGAATTTGTTAGAACAACTTTCAAGTTCCACAACTTGATAGACTATTTGAGAAAAAGCTATTTTAGAAGATCACATACACAGATGCCCAAAATATACTTTCTGTCTTTCAGTGACTTTCCGTCTAAGATTTGATTACCCAAATTCACGTTTACCTAGGAATAAAGTATCGATTCTTGCACCTGCTCCCTAAATTGATGAGGTGATTAATTTTCCTCCAGTTTTACTTTGTTGGTCTTTTTGGTATTCTATACAATCTTCCTTCACTATCGAAGAGTTCTAGAAGATCGTAGGCTCACTCAATTTCTCCTGTAGAGAAACGAAGATTAAGCTAACGTTCACTTTGGTTAACATGGCGATTTACCTCCCCTTAAATCCCAGTGGAATTGTAAGTCGATGGCTACATACGCTAGGAATGTTCTTTTTACAGAATTTGGTCTCACTTATCATGAAACGACTCAACCGCACATTTAGAGAAAGTGCATTTCGCCGAACAGTCGAACCGTTGAAAACTCATAAGAAATTGCTCACACGCTTCGTTGCCAGTTTTCCTTACATTTATGCTACATTTCACAGTGAATTCCTTTTACATTTCGCATTGAAATGCTCACCTCGAAATGCGATAAACTAGGTTTCCTTCATGCGCATTACTAACCCTGAATGCATTGATTATAACCCATATCAAAAGAATGTTTTAATGCGCTTTGCTTCCACGCGAAATGAACAGAGGCAGAGGCGTATAACATCTAGAACCGACGGACCAGTTCTAGATTAGTTCTTGTACGTCTTTCCTGACTTTTTCTGACGTCAAAGCACTTACGGAGGCTTACGAGGCACTATGATCTTCCTGCTTTTTTGCCCCTCGGAGATTGCTCATTACTCCCCATTAAATTCAGATTATTCGACCCTATCAGAACGACAGAAACAGATGCGCCTAGCAGCTGGTACGAGCCCCATCTGCACTACAGGTGTATACTACGATGTTTCAAAGTGGACAAAGTGGACAATCAGTCTTCCGTCCAAAACACTCGACTCAGTAAGTCACTGTAAACATCTGCAAACCACTTGATGAGGTCACTAGAGCCATCTTCAGCTGGGTGCAACAATATGATTGGGCCCCTTGATTAAACCGGCCCCGGCCGAAGACCCCTTAGCCTCCTCACAGACGGAAATAGAGGAGAAGTCATCATTTGAGAACACAGACATTCCCTCGCAAATGAGACGAAGCTCATCATATGTGCAAATATTGAGCGAAGAAGAAGCAGATAGCCGTTTGCTGAGAATTTTTAGCGCGGGACCGGTCCGGAAAAGTGCTGACGGAGCTGTTTTTCTTGCGGAAAAGGATATGGATCTTTTGCTAGGAAGCTCCTTCTTCTTCACTTGAGCCATTGACAAGAAATCTCCGAGACTCCAAACTCTTAATCATTGGTAGGAGAGGCCAAAAGTTGTTCCTGATGCCCTTTACTAGTTCTACACAAGATGCGGAATAATGAAAAAGAGTCCAGTATGGATACGAAAAATCGCATTTCTTGAAGAAGAAAAAGACCAACATCTTATGGCAAGAATACAATGGAGCTCCTGCTTGCGCTTTTTTCTGTCCTTTTTATTTGCATTTCAAGCACATTTTTGCGTGGTGTATAAATAATAAATTTTCCATGGATACTCTTTTCAGGTCAAAATTATCGTATCAAAAATTAGAAGAAATATGAGGATTATGTTTATTGATTCCTGCTTTCTTAAGTACGTTTATCACAAACCAGATGTTAGTTGAGACCCTCAAGAGCCATAAGAAAAAATAAATAATTAAAGTTAATTAATAGAAGTGACACAAACTCACCATCAGAAAGAATCTCATAAGCTTGAGCGATTTTTTTGAATTGCTTCTCAGCAATTACCTTGTCTTTTTCCTCGGGATGTTTGTCAGGATGCCATTTAAGTGCTAGTTTTCGATATCTGAAATCAAATAATTGAACTGAGAAAATCACAATAACCATAATTATTCATCCACACACTTTGCTCGGCATGTTCGCCACAAATAAAACAAAAAATTGCTGTAAAGGTTGTCCGAAGAGACCGTTGGAAAAATTAATCTGCTGCTTATCATAAAACGAGAAATCTCAAATAAATGCTTAGCTCAGTGAACAATGAATGTACTACAACACTGCATAAAATTCTTGAATAGTCAAGTGCCTTTTGAGAGGGAAAGTTTTCCTTGTCCATTTTATCTGTACTTTCAGTTCAAAAACTTTCTAAACAAAACTTTTTTCAAGCTCCCTCAGGAGAAGCTCAACCGTATAGTTAAAGTCCCTTCCTGTTGCCAAGATGGCCTCGATGCATTCGAGAATATTTATGCATAAATTCGTAGTCTTACGATCGGCATGCCATAAATTTGCATTTACAGCTACGTGCGTACGAATGAAAGAAAAGTCGAGTGATACGATGATGCCGCAAATACTGAGCTAACGTTCATAAAAAGCAAATATAGAGGGAATCTTTTCACTTTTATCAAAATCATTCTTAAATAAAAGAAAATTTAGTATTGGACCTTCAGCTTTAGATGACAACTTGTTTTGCCTCATTCAAATTATCAAGATACCCAAAAGTTGTTGTTGGGGAGTTCAGTTCATTGGGGAAGGCGAGGAAAATACAAGATTATAAGCAAAGAATATTCGTGTAGATCCTCCGCTTTAAAATTGATTAGAATCACACGTCTATTTCAGAAGAAAATTGATTTTTCTGTCTGCCATCCTAGCAATGAAATTCGGTACATATTGGCAAAAATAAATAATATCATTGTGTCTTCTACTCATAACGCTGCAAAAATCACTAATAATTCCTCGAATATATAAATGACTTTCTGTGGAAACATTTGAGACTGATAGTTGTAGTTTTTCTCTTATTCTTCCAATATTCCAACCTTATCACTTCCATAAAGTTTACCGGAAGCGACTATTTTGCTAATGGGATTAATCATAATACTCACAAAATTATTCGATGCGATTTGTAGAAGTTGATTAGTGCTCTTGCTTCCAAGTTTTGGATGCAAAAATTCAAAGACAGGATGGTATTGTACTTTGGCAGGTTCGCCTTGGCACACATTTAATTTCGTAGCCAAAAATAGTATACTTGGCAAATCATTTTGTTTGACGTGATTTCACTGATCCTGACCTCTGGATCCTATCAAATTGTAATTGGGTCGTACTATGGTAATGCTGCACACATCCATTTGTTCAATCCTTTTCATGTGAATTCGATTTTAACAGCCTTCTATCCATCAGGTCTTAATTTTTTCACTACTAAAATTGGGTCAGAGTCCTTACAGGCTTAGTCGATTGTTCTGTGTACACAGAACAGCAGCTTTACCCTCCTAAAATCGTATATTGTGGGTGAGTCTGAGTTGTTCGTGACCATGAGACATCACGATTATCCCGGTCTCTGATTCAGCAGACTATGTCAACATATTCTAACGGTCAAAAATAGCTATCCGGGGGAGAATTTTGAGCCAAAGAGATTTGCGTCCATCGCCTCGATGACGTGATTCCGCCACATATTCTTTCGGCTCTAATCTTAGCCATCGCTCTAGACGTAAAGAGGCTCGTGACTAGTTTGGAGCGAATAACAAAAAGGGTATGTATAGGGGGCACGCGCCATTTCATCACTGTCGAGATGAATAACTGAATCTGCGAAAGTGCTTGTTTTTCCTTGAGGGCCAAAAGCGTTTACTCTGAAAATTGCGCCCGACACTTATTGCATTGCTTTAGAATTGTACCGCTCGCTGATCGTTCTCACAAATCACCCTATTCAATAGCGAGTAGCAGAAAAACATCTCAAAAGGCTCCTTCTCTCCCGTACCTTCCAAAAAAGTGGAAGAACCAGCTCATTTTATAGACACGACCCTTTCCTAACTCTCTTGCTAAACTTTGGGTGTGGTCCCCTGACTATTCTACCCATAAATAAAACTACCCATCATAAATGAGTGTCACAGTGAAGGAAATCTCTGCGGTAGAACCGGCTTTGATAGAGACATCGATTCGTGAAGGAAGATGAGCGAAGAACCCGAGCGCAAAAACCGATCGGTGTTGATTCCATTGAATGAGAGTTCTTTGATATTCGCATGGTCAATCGTTCCGGGTCCACGAAAAGGTCACGGAAAAAAGGTGTAGATAATTACACAAGCACTTAACAGCGATTTGACTTTAGGATCAGATCCGGGACGTTCTTACACATGACACTTGTTCTTTAAAAAATTAGGACAAGAGTCGCATTTATTTTTATCTTTGTTCTGAACCACAAAAATACACCAAAATAACTCCTCCACGTGTCATATGGTGCTCAAATTTCTTCGGACTTATTATTGCAGTATTGATCTTATGCAAAAGATATATTAGCATATAGAGCTCTGACTTTTCCATTCTTTCGACACTTCCTCCCAAAATTTCGCAGTTTAGTCTCATAAACTATAAAGTGTCTCATGATCCTCATGTTAGTGCAAGAAGGCTGTTTACAGAACGAAATGTTATAAAATTAGTTTTATGACTGGAACATCAACATGATTCGATTGATGGCAGAAGAACGAGTTATTTGCTCTAGGAATTCCAGAAAGTTTCGGGTAACAGGAAGTAACATGCAACGGAGCCGAATGAGAAAGAGACGCAGCTCGGTCATTTACTTTGAATTTAAAGCCGATCGAAAAGTTAGATGGTTCGCTTGGAATGTTTACAAAAACCTTCTTTGTTGATATAAATTTCTTTAGAATCAATCATTGTCAGAATCTTAACTGATTTCCGACATTTGATTATTTTATGATAAAAGGTTCCGGATTCACCAAACTCTCATGATGTAACATTTATAGGCGTCTAAATTGTGTTTAAAAATCTCTCAACATAGCTATCTTTTGCTAGGAAGTGCTAAATAGCTTACTTTGCAAAGTGCCAAAGGCACTGGACTCTTTTTGTCCCTTTGCAACTCTCCAAGCGCTTTATTTGAGAGCTTGAATAGCCAACGGGAAAGTTCCAATTTATGCCAAAAGGGTATTGAAAACCACCTTCAAAGCCCTTGCAGCTTTCTATACCAATATTCGAGTACATATTAGTCTTGCAAGTGAAAAAGTTTTTGCATATAAGTGTTCGGCGAAATTTACTTATTGTTGAGTCGAATCTAGTAGCTTTGAGCTTTACTATGATTCGAGTTTTCTTGAGTTTTCCTTGACGAAATCACTTTCTTTACTTGATCATATGCATTTCTATACGGATTATACCAGCCATACAGATCGCCGAGAATAAGCGATGACATAGATTTGAATATCACGAATTTTTTAGATAGATTACAACGGTTTGCAACTTTTCTTTAGAAACTTGGAAAGGTCTTTCTGACGCTTTTCATGGGCCTTAAAATAGATAAGATAAGAAAAGCCTCTTCTTCTGAAGGAAATCAACTCTGCATGAATTTCCAGTTCAAAGCGCGCAAAGAATGCAAGTATTTACAAGTTTAATCAAAGATTTATGTTCTTTGACATTCAAGAGTTGCAAATACTTTTGGTTCTTAAGCCTCGACATTCCTCAATTTTCTGACAATGTACAGACTAAGCTAATACTTTACCAAAACTTTTTTCTAGTTGTACTAAAAATGGCCATGATGGCACAGAGTGCTAACTTTTTTTTTGTCTCCCGTAGCGAACTTCTTTCCACTGCTATGCTAATCAGTGTCTTCTTCAGCTGTGTGCAAAAACCTATTACACTGCAATCTTCCCCACGAAAAGTGCATTGACAAGTTTTAGTTGCTCAGTAGATGCTAGACAAAATTTTAGAAGAAATTTTCGGAAACTTGGAGTGCTATACGGCATCTAGCACTATCTATTATCGCTACTATATAGCAATGGATCTATAACTTCCAGTTCTTCGAGTCTCGTTAATAAGGGAAAGTAGATGACTCTAGTGAAAAGGGAGTGCCCAAATAAACCGGTCCAATACATTGCTTTGATACATTTACATCGATTTGCGTTTAGAAATTCTGTGTGCACAGGTTGCAGATCCAATAAGTGAGAAGAAATCGAAAAAAGAACATTCATAGGGCAATTCTGTCGAGCAAAGTGCACGGTCAGAACAATGCAAAGAACGAACAATAAAACACAAAGCAACAAGCAATATGATACATTGACTCACGCTTTTTTTATTGTTGTCTCATCAGAATTAGAAGCTATTCCCAAAGTAGTATACGGCGACTCCTCCCGAGGAGGCATCCTGTAAAGGCGGTAATTTTGAATCAGAATTTGGTGTATAAATCGACAGCAAACGATTGGAGATTCACGACGCAAGCGGGGCGCCAGAACAGAACATGACTGATAGACAGCTGAGAGAGTGATTGGATTCGGAGCGAATGTGTGATAGATGCGATATCGCAGGTGTTCGCGATCTACTGCTGCAACCACGACAGCGACATCAGAATCAATCGTGAGGTGGGCGCGGCTCCAAATAAGCGCCAGCCACGCCCCCATCGCGATCGCAACAGCGACAACGTTCCGACAGCAGACCGGTCGCGGAGACCGGAAAGCGTCCGCGCCGCCGCGCCGGACCATCGGAAAGCTTAGGTGGGTCGGAATATTCCGAAATAGGACGGAACGGAAGCCGCGCTCAGGAAAGCGGTTGCAGGGGTCATGAATCTTCGATCAGAATATGAGATTATGGAGAAAAACCGGTATGATAATAGACTGTAATGTCGATGTCGTCGACTTAGGGTCTATGGCTGTATTCACGACATACAAGAGAAGGTCAAACGTTTTGACGAGAATGATGCCGTTTTATGGTTTTGGATCACTTCCATAGTGCAATAAAGAAAACAATGAATTTTTAAAAGTCCGATTTTTCTACTACTTTTTGGAATAAATTTCAATACATTGGGTATACTCAAAACAATTATGCTTCAAAAAAGACCGAAAATTCATAAATTTCTTGACTCTAACGAAATGGATTCATCTGATGCCTATTGAAGAGGAAAATTGGCACCAATTCTGCTCGAGACAAATTCTTTGTTGCTATATAACGACGTTGTAAGGGGATTGAAAGAAACCCATGAAAAATTTTTTTCTCAAATTTAAATAGCTAAAGTTGCTAAAGTCCACCAAAATTTGATTTCAGTTTAGCTTTTAACTTATAATCTGTTCCTTCTACCTAAGTTGACTTCTGATTTTGATTAAAATAAATTCCTTAAGACAAAAACATATAATATAATTTAAAAAATTCATGTAAACATTTTTAAGCAAATTTTTCGCATTGTCGGTGAACACTTATCTATAGACCTTAATCCGCGGAGATAATTCCTTTGTGGAATTTGTGTTCAAACAATTCCCCTCGCAGATACTATTCTCGAAAATCTATTTCTAAACTGCTTGCGTCAAACCGTTGGAAAACCAGGAAGAAACGCATAAACGCGAAAAGCTTGTGTTTACAAGTACTTAATAAATGCCGTAATAAATCGTTGCGGGCTTTTTTATGACCATAAGTGAGTCAGCAAAGTAAAGTCAGAAGCCCGAACAACTAGTAGAGGAGTTTCGAGAATGTAAGCAAATTTCGCTAGCTAGTATTGTCACATTTCTCACTCCGTTGACAATACTGATTAAACACAGACTTATCTTGCCAAGAACCTTTTGTGAGAAAAAAGAGCAAAGCAATCGATGAATGACAGACAAGACAGAGAGAGAGAGATGGAGCTTGATTTTATGAGATATTCTGCTGTCTACTAGAAATCAAAAGATTAGCTATGCTGTAAAAATTCCTCACTAGAAGAAAGAGCTGTATAAGATTTGCTGACAGTAAAACTGCTTCAACCACCAAGATAAATAAAAACTAAAGAGCTATTGACACCGCTAAAACTTCTCCTCCCCTACTGTAAACTATTGTAAATCTCAATCTTTATATTTATTTTATGACCAAGTGGCACAAATTCGTCACTTTTGCAGTTTGTCTCCAGTCTGCAGTGACCATGACTAACTGAGTGATTCATGTCCTTTAGCGTACTCCTACGATATTTCGGGATACTGTGATAGTCATCTGGTGAATCAAATTAACCACTGGTGATTCACAAGATCGACTCTTGACGCCGATTCTGGATAGGAGGGAGAAAATCTGATTTTGAATCACAAAAAGCTGGGTTCAAAACAGGAACTTTTCGCATGTGTTGGAAAGAAATAAACAAATCATGGAGAGCAAGTCGCCCACCTTCGGGAATGATAAATGTATATGAATCCTTCAAGTGGACAGAGAGTTTCATGAGAATGCGAAAGTCCCCAGTCAATCATGAGCGTTTGCCATTTCATAAAGAAAAAAGTGCTTAGATAACGAGAAAATTCGCAAATAAGCTGGTTAACTGTAGCACATGGTGTGATAAAGTTATAGGTGATTAGAAAACTACAGTCAAACTCTGATAATTGTCTATACAATTAGCAAAAAAATGTAAGGGACAAAGTCGTGAAGGACAAGACAGCCTTCCAAGTACGAATTAAGAGCGCAAACAATGACTTGGGTGGGGTTAACACAATGTTAATGAACAGTGTAAAGCTGTGCCAGGTGCTTAATGCAGTGGAAAAAAACAATGGCTAAGTAGGATAAGACTTTACCAACAGTTTAGATTTCTTAAGGGGACCATGCTACCATATTGAAGAGCATAAAACGCTGATTCCAAATATGTTTTCCTTTTCTGCGGAACATTTATGGACGAGGAGTTATGAATTTTCATTAAAGCAAAAAATTACCCCTGCAAATAGGACAGAAAAGGTCGTAATTTTTCTAGCGCTCTAATATAGCAGTGATGCTTATCAAAGCAACTTATTCAATGAATACCTTCAGATAAAAAAATGTCACACTTAGTTGTTTTATTTAAGGGTTGGGAAAATTTTAGCAGCCCATTTCACCCTAAATTATTTGTTTTTTGCTCTAATGAATGTTCAAAACTCCTGGTACACAACTGTTCCGCAAATGAGTAAAAGCAGATTTGGAATCAACGTTTCATGCTCTTTAATGGACATACATCCCATCTAAAAAGGCCACTTCGACTAAGTATGGTTCCTTTCTTAATAACTTTGTGTTACGCTTGGTACTAAGTCAAAAGCGTTCACTTCTTTGTCTAAAAGTAAAATCGTTAGAATTACTAGAAGAAGTTAAGGAAGGTTTTTAGCTGTAATCCGCAGCTTTGAAGCACTTGGAAGCAGCAATACTTTTCCGGACCCTTTCATACATTCTCAGCGAGAATCGAACAAAGTTTGAGATAACAGTATTGGAAGAAGACATGATTACTGGATTAGATTGATGATTGAAATGATAGAAAAAAATATCGAATGTATAAATTACTGTTCGGATTCCCATGGAAAATATTCACCATAGGGTTCGGCCATACTAATCCTTTATTTCCTCTGGTTCCCTTACCACGGTCATTCTTAGAAAGCGATAACTTCCATCCAGGACAAAGTAACAAGATAGACGGAAGCTTTCACCTTTTACGGATATGCAGAACCACAGTGACTACAATAAAAAGTCCAGGTGCTTTTCTTGCACCTTTCCGCGAGAAATAACGAATTTCTTTAGAGAAGCTAATTAAAAATGACTTTATCAAGTAAATAATGATGCAATTCTCAAAATTTCACCAAACAAAACAATATCCAAAGTAATCTGCTTCGAACACCGTAAGCAATTGCTCTCTTTTTGAAGCGAAGGCATGATGCGAGATCCTTGCGAAATGTGCAAAAAATCCAGACGTGGAACATGAGGAAATGATTGAAGATATGCAACAAGTGGGCATCTTGAGTAATAATAAGTGCCCGGTCACGATGTTGCACGGATTGAACGCCTCTTTTAGCAAGGGCTCTCGATTGCGACGCACTTTTCAGAAGTGAAGGCGCATATCTCAAGTGTTCTGAGCCCGTAGCCACGCCTTCTTTGGGGGTGGAGTCGACATCGGAAAAAAAATTGACCGGAAAGGAGTTTTGAGTTATAATAATTGCCACTGGGAAATTTGACGGTTGATATGGTGCAACCGCGTTGCCAACAGCGTTTGCGCGTGAACAACGACAATGTGCGCTCTAGGGCCATTTATAAGGCAAGTTAAAAACAAACGGCATTCCCAACCATTTATTCTCACAAAATTGTTGCTGACACTGCATTTGCACTACATCAACCTCCAAAACCATAAAATTCAATGATTTGTCTACAACGTCCTAAATTTAAAAAAACAAAACAAATTACGCTAGCTGTACGTACGATTGCATTTTTTTGCGAAAAGTCCCAACTGTACGTTTCTTATCCGAGCCTCATCAATTCCGCGTCATTGTCGGAATGCCACAATTTCTTCCAGAAATTTGTAAGCCAGAGAATATCAATTTGCAAGCAGCACGTTTCCCTCGTGCACTTTAGATAGCCATAAGTTACATCCCCATATCTATCCTTTTGGATTTATGAGGTCCTCGAAATTTGTTCAAAATGGCCATAAGTTTTCTGTTTTTTCAAGGAGGTATTGGTCACACTGAAATTTCCGATTTTTTTTTGTATCATCCCGACACATGACTAGCACTAATGTGATTATATCTACTAGCATAAAGCGACAAGTGAGAAATATTGAGATCTGTAAATATTGAGATATAATTTACAAAGTCGGATAATTATAAAGAGAAATGAGATCTAATCATTAGGAGCCCGCGTTACATAATAAATTTCTTTAAGCTAAAATGGAATTGTTAGAGATGTATTGAAATTTCCTTGTACAGTGATATGTGTTTTCCTTACATTTTGTTACTCTGGCTCATTCAGATGTAGCATGAATGGTTAACTAGACAAATGAATGGAAAAAGTATTTCCGTGTAGCTCTAGTTTACCGTTTGTGTACAGTTGTATTCCAGTCATTCTTTCAGCTACTGAATATTGTCTTTCACGTCTCGTAAAATGAGAAAAGAAAGCGACGAATGTTTGCTTTGCTATCTTCATTTGCAAACAAAGAATACTTGCTCAAAGCGTTTTTTCCTAATTTGTGCAATCAACAATAAAGCATTCCTGCCATCAAAACTCTCCACTAGAACTAGTAGATGTCCATTTTGTTCTTGTGTTTCTGATCGAACTATACAAATCTTGGGCTTCATATAGGTAAAACTTGTTAAACCCGGGATTCACATTTTGTAATTTTCGAGCATTTTTCCTGCGCCACATGGCAGAATAATAGCGAGCAGTCCAACACAAAGCAGAGAACATCATGCGAAAGTGTA